ATGTAATGTGCCATAGAAAAGAGAGCAGCAGCCCTGGGTGGGAGAGCAGAAGCAGTCGGGGTCAGAGAGGATGTCAGGGTGTGTGTGTGCCTCTGCCTGAGCTGTGAGCAAACCACAGCAGCCCCAGAAGAAAATCTTTTAGATAAATCACAATAAACTGCCTTAAGACTGAACAACAGAGACTGCACGGGTTGGAGGAGAGACTTTTCCACCACACGAAACCCCTGAACCTGACCTGGGTTCCAACACCAGTGAGGGTGGGATCCCTCACCAGTGATTTGGGACCCCCCTTATTTATTGTCCCAGCAGGGAATGGGAGCCACGTGGCCACCAAACCCCGAGGTGGGCACTGAGGAGCCAGCCCAGGGCTGAGCATCTCCTCTGGGCCCTGGAGCTTCCTCCTCCTCCTCCTCTTCCTCCTCCTCCTCCTCCTCCTCCTCCTCCTCACCTGCTCCAGCCCATGCCGCCGAAATCTCGGCGCTCCCACCTGGTCCCTCACTCCATGCCTGACACAGGCGTGTTTGCCTGGTGTTTCTCTTCCAGGCAATATAAAAATGAAAGGAGAAAAAATTGTAAGTTATTTCAAAGCTCTTCGCTTCAAAAACATCCAAACCAAATTTAGGCAGCGGAGCCATAAACGTTGCTTTTATTGCACACACAAAATTACCCTCTGCAATATGATTCCTCTCAATTTATGGTTCTCCCACAGCCATTAATTCAGCCCAGGTCTTTTCTTCTTCTTTTTATTTTTTTATTTTTAATTTTTTTTTATTTCCCCCCCTACTTTAAGTCAAATAATTCATAAATACTTCACTCTGGAGTGTGCTTTATGAGCATTATTATGATCACTTGAACGTGGAAACGCCTGTGAAGTTATTACGAGAGTTTTAATACAGCACAGACTCCCCAGAGGGGCAGAACAACTCCATCACACTCCAGAGGGAACAGTCCTCTGGTGAGGCTCTTTATTTGCCCAAAAAATCAGGATTCTGCAGCCCAGACATCCCCAAATCCAACCCTGGCCTGGGTTTTAGTTTTGCTGTCGCTGGCCAGAGTGAGATGAGGGTCAGGTCTGCAGGTCCCCATGAGATCTTCAGACCTAAACACAGGGGAGGAAAAAAAAAGGCTATAAAAATATTTTTAAAATAAAAAATGGTCAGGGGAGCAGCAGGATTGTTGAATTAGGTGATCTTAGAGGTCTTTTCCAACCTGATTCTATGATAAAAGGTGTAGAAGAGCAGGTAAATGAATTCCTTGGATTTCCCAGATGTGAAGGAGGCCTGGAAAACCTGGATTGCCCTGGTGTGAAGGCAAACACAATTTTTCCATCATCCTGGCCCTCATCACACGCTGCTGAAAGCCAGAAATTCGCTCACAGGGGTGAAAGTCAGAGCTGGAAACCTCTGGAGTATTTTAGGGAAAGAGAGAACCTGAGAGCCCTGGAAGCACACCGAGGTGGAAAGGGGAATTCACGGAATGAAATGGATTTTCTGGCACGGCCGAGCCTTTCCACAGGGTGTCCCAAGCCAGGGGCTTTGCACATTCCCTGCATTCTGCATTTCCCCTCCTCTTTCTCCCGTGTGAACCTGCCAGAACCCAGCCCTGGTTCAGGGGCTCCGTGTGGTGGCAAAGTTGTTCTTCCAACCCGAGCTTCCAAAGAAAACTCATCAGCCTCTGTTGTTGGGTCTCAAGGCAGTTTATTGTGAGTTATCTAAAAGATTTTCTCCTTGGGCTGCGGTGGTTTGCTCACAGCTCAGGCAGAGGCACACACACACCCTGACATCCTCTCTGTCTGCTCTTTTCTTTTTCTCTCCCCGCCCCTGGCTGCTGCTCTCTTTTCTATGGTTCATTACTGACACACGTTTACAGTTTTTCTCTAATTGTTAAGCTTGGAAAAACCCCCTGAGATCCTGGAGCCCAACCACCAACCCAGCACTGCCAAGGCCACCACTAAACCGTGTCCCCAAGTGCCACATCCACATTTATTGAACACTTCCAGGGATGGACACTCCACCACCACCCTGTTGGTGAAGATCTTTTCCCCAATATCCAATCTAAGGAAGGAATGTTTTCCTCCTTGAATGATCCAGTCTTCCCACTCAAAACCACGCCGTGCAAAGTGGATCCTGTCCCTCGAGGAGATGCTCCAGCTGCTCCTGGAGCTGACACGAGCTGCTCTTGTGCTTTATTATCTGCTCCTAAACGTTTATTCCTGCTGCTCATGGGGATAAATCCTGTGCCCAGCCCCTGCCCCGAGCAGGGAAGGACATTCCTGGCTTTGGGATTCCCAGGCTGCTGGCAGGTGACACCGGCTGCCCCACGGCATGGATGTGGGAAGGGTTAATTAGGGCTGCCCTTAATTAGGGCTAAATGGTGCTTTTCTATCTTTTCTATGGTACATTACATTTTAAATGTTTACAGTTTTTCC